CTTTTAGTGACCAGTATCTACGCGCAACTTAGAAGGTCGCGCTGGCTAGGCGCGCGCATCTTTCTGAGTTGTGCTGGTATGTCACGCGCAACATCTTATGTTGAGCGCGACATTATGTCAGTAAAGTGAAAAATCGCAGACGCGATTTTCGCTTCACCCTTTTCTCCTTCCTTCGCCATTTTAGACTCTTTCTCTCTCTAGAAAGCTCGGTTTTTTGCAATTTTTGAAGCTAAAGGAAGCTAATTTTGTCCTCAATTCATATTTGCCGTAATTCAATGTAAGTTTTTTACTAAAATTTGCTCTTTTTTGGCCGAATTCGAATGATTTTCGAAGTGTTAAACTCCAAATTTCGAATTTGGGGGTTTTTTATTCGGCTTATTTTTCTTGAAAGTGTTTGCTCCATGTTGTTATGTGGTGTTTAAGAAGTGTTTTGCAATAAATTTCATGAAAAATGGTGAAGTATTGAACCGTGTATGAGCATTTCTTTGTTCAAGTTCGTTCTTGCTTCCTTTTTTCGAATTTTTGCATGATTTTGTTGCTTTTCTTGCTCATTTTGGTTATAATTGCTTATTATGAAGTATATTATAGTGATGGAATTAATATACCTTTCATAATTCATTTTTGTGAATTTTGAATTGTTGAAAAATGGCGCGAAACATACTCTTAGCTCATTTTGCCATATTCGAACTTCAAAATTGTTTTGTAGACGATAATTATGTTTATATTACTGTTATTCGTCTAGAATTAGTTGATTCTTTGAGATTTTGGAATTTAATCCCTTGAATGCTTAGTTGAAACTGGTATAGGATGGCTTTTGTGGGTGTTAAAAGCCCCCATTTACTAAGTTTAACTGCAGTTATTGTAGCCCCCAAGTATGGGTGGCATTTTATTTTCGTGTTTTGCCCTATCGATAGTCGTTATGCTGCCGAAATGGATCCAAAATACATATATTAGTTTAGTTTAGGAAATAAAATAAGTTAATTCAAGAAATTATACCCGTCAAAGCATGGACTCGCCTTCGTTTGTCGATGCCGAGGAGGTTCTCGTTTGTCCAGACGAGGTGATTTGTCCTCAGAAGAGGGTGACCCGTCCTCGAGAGGAATTTCAAGAGCGACGTGTCGCAGCCGATCGACGTCGCCATGAGGAGATGGTTTGGGAGGCTCCTCCCAACTAGGACCTTAGGGTCCTAAAGTAGGATCCAGACCACCATGTTTTGATCCGAGGGTGGCGCGGTATCGTGAGTTTCCCGCTCTTTCCCTTCTTTCTCTTTTCTTTTGTTTCTTCCCCTTTTAAACCATAACCTTGTTTTTTAATTTTGAGTGAGCCTGGCATGCGTTTGTACGACTCTAGTGACCTACGAGCCCGTTTCGAGAGTTTGCCCGAGGTGGCAAAGGAGATTGTAGCACTTTCTGGGATTGACTCCCAGTTGGCGGCTCTTCGAGATTTATCGAGCCAGTTTGCATCGTCAACTTTCCTCCGTGGATTGCTGGAGTTTTGGTGGGATTCCACCAACACTTTCCATTTTCCATGGGGAGAGATGACGGTTACCCCTTTTGATTTCTCTATGATTACGGGTTTTCCTTTTGGAGGCGAGCCTGTAATTAAAGAGCTCGTTAAGGGGTCAGATGAGAGATTGCACAACCTTGTGGGGGACCGTATTGCGTCGGCCCTTCACGTGTACGCGCAATCTTGTCGATACTTGGTTCTTGCCGACGAGTTTTCGGCTGACGAGCTTTGCCGGAGTGTACACCTGAGCATCTGGCTCGGATATACATTGCCCACGTTCTTTCCGTCACCATCTCGAGTGATCGAGGAGAGCATTTCGCTATTGGGTTACTTATTTGTCTCAGCGATTTGGGGAAAGTAGGTGAACTGAGTTGGGCGGAGGTGTCGTATGCCCGTATGCTTACGGCTATGGGAAAGGCGACCCGGGTCATGGATTTCGCGGCAGCTACTGAGGTGCCTCGGGTCTCGCTTACATGGCATGGTCCTATCCTTGAGGTATGTGTTTTAAGCTTTTTTCGGTTATTACTTTTATTTTTTCCTTTAGGTTTATCTTTTCTTGATTTCAGGCTTGGGGATACTCGTACCTGCCTTGCTTAGCCCCTAGGGTGCTTGGGGCTAATCGTTTTCCTATTAGCCATTGATTAGTCGCGATTAAGAGGAGACGAGCTACTTGTGCCTGTGACTTTCGCCAGAGGATTCTTTCGGCGACTTGTGCGTTGGTGAATATTCCAACTAAATGTTCTCTTTTCATTTTTTTTTATTCATTTTCTAACGATTTTACATGTGGTTGTGTTTTGTAGACCGATCTCCATCCTTGGAGTTTGATCGTCGGAGTCCCTGAGGCTATGCGGTCTAGCATGGTTCGTTTGTCGTTTTCGGGCCTTCTATACGGGACTCTCGGTGTTTCAGAGGACCGACGCTTGGTTTTTGGGCGAGCGTGTTCTCTGGAAGCTTTCGTCCGAGGAGCCTTTGGTTCCTGCGGATCCCCCGATCCGGATGCTGCGTTCGGACCTGCTGTCTACCGAGGATCGAGTTCAGGCGAACCTTGGTTATCCAGCGGAGCAGCTGGTGCTGCCAGAGGCTTCTTATTTGGCTTTATAACATCCAGGCTGACTCTTTTTCCAACTTTTGTTTCGGTTAGTACTCCAACTCTCTTTTTTTCCATGTTTCTATTTATTTTTCAAAACTTTGACCCTTTTATCGTTTTTGTCACATGTATTTTTAGCAGGTCGACCTAGGTGGTTGGGTGCCTCCTACAATAGAGATCACGTATACCGATGCTGTCGGATCGGTAACTTATGGGACCCTTCCAGCAGCCGAGGATGACGAGGGGATACCATTCAACCTGAGACGGTTGAGTCGGTATGTCTTTTATGTATATGTACTTAAATATTTCTATTTTTTTTGTTTCATATACATTTGTTTACTAACTGTCCTTGTATTCTTTGTACAGGTTCTGCGGGAGACCGTGAACGGCATGGTGAGGACTTTACGTGCTTTCCAAGAGACTTATCGGAGAGCGCTCGTGACTTTGTCATGCCGTGGTCATCGGAAGATCGCGGTAAGTTTTATTTCTTTTTTTTTTTGCAACGAAGTTATTTTATTTCATGTATTAATCTTCGTTTTGGATTTTGCAGGATGTGGAGCAATCGTCTAGTAATCGCTGAGCACCCTGATTCCTCTTGTACACATTTTACTATATTTTTTAGGAAACGATGTGTATATTTTTTTTATATATTTGACACGTTTTTATATATATATCATTATTATTATTTTTTTTGTTTCCATGGGTACATTAATGCGAAAAATTTTTGAAGGAGGGAAAGAGTTCCCAACTTACCCCCCTCGAAAAAATAAAAAAAGTTGAAAAAGAAGAAGGAAAAAAGAGAAAAGAAAATAAGAAAATAAAAAATAAAATAAAGAAGTAGGAAAATAAGAAGAAAAAGAAAGCAGGAAACCAATGGAAAAAAGAAAATAAAAAGAAAATAAGAAATTATTAAAAGAAAATAAGAAAGTAGGCAAGAAAAGGGACACAAAGTGTTAGAAGGCAAGCGTATGATTCATCTTAAGATCTCGTGAAGATTCCGTCATTATATGAGCCAAAATACGGAAATAAACCCAACTTACATGCCGCATCAAGGGAGACGCGCGCAACTGCGTAAGTTGCGCGCGGCTGTCGCGCGTATGTAAATCAGTTGCGCGCAGGTGTCACACGCAACTGATGAGCTGCGCGCGCCACCTGTTAGTGAACTTTCCTTTAAGCCGAATTTTTCGAAAATTTGCCCCTCTTGTGTCTATTTAAACGTGGTTTCGTGTAGGATTTTGATCATCTAGCATTCATTCGCTTATTAACATAAGAAATTAAAAAGAATTAATCTCTTTAAATTCTTATGCTCTTTTTTTTTTGAACAATGGTGAAGACCTTTGAACAATGCTTGAAGCAATGGGTCAACCCCCTTTCAACTGAGGACAAACTAGCTTTCAAAATTTACCACTTGGACCGTTTATTGAATTATATGCAATTAGTGGTTAACTTTGATTTTCTTCATGCCGCAGTCAACCATTGGAACTCTAACCACCATCTTTTCTTGTTTAGAGGGGATAAAATTGTCCCCCTTCCTGGTGAGTTCGAGGCCTGGCTAGGTTTCCCTACAAACACTCTTCCTGTAACTTATATTCCAAAGATTTTTTTGTTTGTCCGACAATGATATGAACAACATAGGAACTAAAGAAGGCGTGAACTTAATTCAATTTATTGAACACTTCGTCGCCCCTCGTGACAATATGACTAAACAACACTTTAAAATTCGTGCTTTATGTTATTATCTTGTTTTTAAATTATTTACTTAGGACAGGCAAAGGATACGGAGATTATTAGATGGTGTCCATAATAGAGAAAATAGAGGGATGTCATTCACCCGCTCCTTTGGTTTTGGCGGAAACCGTTCTGTGCTTGAATCGCCTTAGAGGAGATCCTAACGAAGACGGTTTCACGGAAAGTCCACTCCTATTACACGTACGGTTTTTTTTTTCGGCGTTTATTAGTGCAAGTCAAGAAGTTGTGCTTGCATGACCAGCACAATATTTTTCGTTGCGCGCGGAGGGTGCGCGTAACTGGTTTAGTTGCACGCGCCACGTGCTTGTGTAAAAAATCGCAAACTAATTTTGTTTTTCTTTTTTTTAGATATGGCTCATGGAGTGTTTGTGAATTGTTGATCAGCCTCAAAACCTTGAGGCTAATGGAGTAAAGACATTCCTTGGACGTCGAATCCTTTATAACACTACAAGAAAAAGGTGAATTAGCAACGGAATTTTGCGACTACCATAATAATTAGTTGGAAAAATAATTTTAGCGAATGAAAAAGACGAGTATTCGCAAATTTTGCAACCGAATTGGCAGTAGTTGCTATGCGGTCGTTAATTAGCAACTGATTTTTGCGACTACTATAATAATCAGTTGCAAAAAATATTTTCGTGACAGAAAAAGACGAGTAGTCACAAAATTTGCAACCGAATTTATAATAGTTGCTATGCGGTTGCTAATCTGCGACGCTCTTGTAATAATTTGGAACTAACACGGTAGTCGCTACTATTATTTTTAATATTTATTAAAAAGAAATAAAAAAAACCCCTAGTATAATAAAAAAAATAAAAAAAAATAAAAAAAAAACCCCTTATTCCTAAAAAAAATGAAAAAAAAGGTTATTGCCGCCAAAAAAACAAGAATTATCAATCAGTCTTATACTCTTATTCACAGTAAAAAACAAGAACTATCATACTCTTCCTCAAAAAAAAAAAAAAAAAAAAACCCTTAATCATTTAACTCGTGAAACAAAAAAGAAAAAAAAAAAAAAAAAGAAGTAATCACTCTGAAAGATACACACAGAAGGGTTAATTTTAGAGAATCAACCCTCAGCCCCTCACCGTCGTTCTTCATCTTCCTTAGCTCCGCTGCGCCACCACGTCTCTTCCCAGGTAATTTGTCGACTATGAATTTTAGGGTTATCATTGATTTTTTTTTTTGGGTCCAATTATTGATTTTAATTTGGTTTCCATGGTCTAATTGAAGTCAATTAATTAAAAATCAATCAAAATTGATTGAGTATGCAAAAATCCCTAATGATTTTCAATGTAAAAATCCCATTTCTAGTTATTTCGACCCCTTTTTTTAACTATTGTTTGTAAAATATATACAAGTATATTTCATGAAGAGGGGGGGTTTGTTGGTAATTGAATTCTCGTTTTGCTCTGAATTCATGTTCATTAGAGGGTATTGAGGCTCGCTAGTTATAATTGAATTCTTGTTTGCTATGATTTTATTATGTTTTTGAGCCTAATTTGCTGCTTTTGGTTGTCATGGCAACCGTTGTGGGTGGTTGCTAGAATAATAGTATGTTAATTGAGTTTGCTCCTAGTTTGAGTTGTGGGGCAGCAAGTTATTCTAATTGGATATAAAAATTTACCTTGACCCGGCATCGAATGCATAAATGCATTCACTCATTCTGTTTTCTGAGTATCTGCTTGGTCTGAATTCATTTCACCTCTATATAATGTGTAATCATGGATCACTTATTTGGAGAATTGGAGTTTCTTTTGGATTGGAAATGCGTTTGGAGTTATTATGAAGTTAAATATATTAGCAAATCATTAAAGCGAATTGGTGCTAGAGTTATGCATTTCAACTTCAGGTTTCTGTAGTGAACATATAGCTGTTGTGAGTTGTGCAAACTACTTGGGTAAGGACTCAGGGAGTCATGGGTGAAGAGCTTGTAATTAAGCATTCAAGTTTCTTGGTCATTCACTGTTAACTTGACTAAGAAACTTTTAATAGTGTTAATTACATACTACGTATGTTGATTTTGATATCCTCACATTTCCCATTACCCTCATCTTCTTATCTGGGTTGAATAAGGTGTATTGTTGTCATTGTCAAATCCGATTTTATTTCCTAATATCTATGTGACATCAACGTTGGCCATTAGATGAGGATAACCACAATGCAAATTAGGCTCAAAAACATAATAAAATCAGAGCAGAAGAGATTTCCAAATTTTGTTCTTATTACTTTCAACCTCATGTTGATACGAAATCTAGAGATCTAGGACGCAATGTTGTTGTTGATGATGATTTAGAGTCGACTATACCAGAATTATTCCATTTTAGCAAAGGTCGTGGCAAAGGTGTCCAAACTAGGTTTATAGATTCGAAAGAAGTCAAGCATGCACACACTATGTTCTTTCTAATTGTGGTGTGTTAGGAGAATATGAAAGGTACAAATTTCTATAATTGGTAGTTATTTTATGCAATTTGCTAGATAATTGACGTTTTAAGGTTTATAGGAAGTTGGAAGAGTCGATGATGCAAAAATATCCTGGTATTGACCTTCATGATATTTGGAGCAAGTTTTCACATGAATTTTCCAAATGGTTTCAGGAATTCGTAAGTTTTTACAATCAAGTTTCAATATATCATTCGCTAAATATGACTAAGGTTATATATTTTATTAATTAATGGCTTGAATTTGAAATTAGGTTATCGAATCTAATTAATGAGACTGATGAAGTGATTCGAGCACTTGCCATGGGTCCGTCTAGACAAGTCAAAACATGGAGGCAATTTGACATCAACGGCTTTAAGTTTCACACTTTTGATTATGGAAAGCACAAGGCAACTATGAATTATGGTGTGGGTGTAATAAGTGAAGAGGAAATTGATTACTTTGGCATTTTAGAAGAAGTCATTGAGTTGGTCTACTTGGGGACCGTAAATGTCTTCAAAACCGTATTGTTTAAATGTAATTGGATGGATTCAGTGAATGGCATGAATATTCATGAGCAGTATAGATTAGTTGATGTGAACCCCTCTAAGAAATAACCTGCATATGATCCTTTTGTTCTAGCACATCAGGCTTATCAAGTGTATTTTACCTCTTATCCAAGCTTAAAGAAAGATAAGAGCAATGGTGGGCTGTTTTTAAGACTAAAGCTAGGTCAACTGTGGATGTCCCAATCAATGAGTCAATTTTCCAATTAGACATTGGTGAGACACCAACCCTTTGTTCAGATGCTGATGATGGTGTTATGTACGAGGATATGGATGAAATGGAGGAGGAAGCCTCAGGTGGTGAAGAGGAAGAACAACATGAAGAAGATGAATGGGATGATACTGAATCTGAATCTGAAGAAGAGGTTGATAGAGAGTTAGGATATACTGACAGCGATGACGAGGATGATGATGATGATGATGATGAGGATGAAGAAGACGAAGAATAATTTCAAAGTTTGTAGTTTTCAATATGTTTTCTTTGTTTTGGGCTTATTTGTTTGATAGACAATGTGTTTTATCTTATTTGTTTGATATATGATAAATGTTTTAAAATTTGTTGATCATGTTCGTGAGCTTACTTTTTTTTTAAACAAAAATATATCATGGGTTATTATGTATAAATTAATTTTTGAGCTTATGATCTTTCTAGTTCTTTGGAAATGAAATCCTTCATGAAAAATTCAAAAATTGGTCGGGGAGGTAATCAAGGCGGTGTCCGAGCCAATAATCAATCGGTTGATCAAGACAATCCTGTGGTCACACGACCCACACCACCACCTTCTAATGAATAGGTACAAGTAAATTCTAATACTGATGTTACTGTTGAGAATGATGTGTCACCACATAATTTGAATGGAGTGGAACAAGGAAAGATTGAGCTCTCACCAGATGAGCTATGGTCAGTTATATTCATCTATGTATTATATTTGTTGTCTTAGTAGCTTATTATCATTTTTTATGCTTGTGCTTAATCTTTCTTGCATCAGGTTTGATGACCATACCGTTAGTGGAAATGTCACAAAATCTTGGAAGGCACACTACAACCACCCAGACATGAATTTTACTGAGGTTCAACTTATAGTTAGGGATCGTTGGTTCACTGAGTTTAAGGTATGTTTAGAATTTAAGATTTTCTCTTGTATTCATTGCTCTTAAACTAGTGAAGTTGCATATTTCAATATTAGCTTTGAGTCTCTAATTCTTTGTGGAAAGCATGGCCTATTCTATGTGGAAAGCATTTCATATTAGGGCAGAGTAGATTTAGCCATTTTTTTACTCGTGCACTTGTATTAGGAACCAATCAGTCAGACTAAATGCCAATTGACAAGTTGTGCTTGATCTAGATGAAGTGAGTTACTCTTGATGATTGATGATCATGATCATGATCATTTATTGTTCTATGTTTGACCTTTGAAGTAGCTCCCTTGAGCTCCCAACTAAAGGAAAACTAATGGATTGCATTTATGTTAAAAACTAATTATGCCCTGGTCATCTCTGATCTCAGCCCCAAAACCCACTCCCAATCCCTTCTTCACAGCAGCATCAACATTGATGCGTAAAACCCTAGCAGCAGCAGCAGCAACAACATCAGCAGGTAATGAGTTGGTGGTTATTGCTCTTTTTTCTATTAAAATATCTACTTATGCAAAGTCCACCATAGATGGACCTTAGCTTGCTGGCCCGATGAGTGAGTGATAGACATTTAAGACAATGTTATTTCTGTTACATATGAATGTTAAGAGTTAAATGACATTAAAATTGTTTCAATATATTTACCTAGCTAGCGGATGAATAGCAACCCGAGGCATATTTCGGGCCACACACTAGTTGTGAGCTATAAATAGTATGATGTATATGCCAAAAAAAAATGATGGAAACACCAATCCTTGATAACGTACTACATATCCTTCAAGTTGTATGCATAAATAAATTGTATTACTTTTCTAACCATATCATAATAACATTTTCTGCTTTTACTTAGCTTATTTTGGATTCTCGCGTTATACAAATTAGTGAATTACCAACTACACCTATAACCTATTGCATACCCGCTTTTGTTAATAAGATACTCGTAGTTAATATGATACATTTACTAGTTCTATCCTACATTTAGACTTCAAAGTATTATAATCTACATTCACTTTCTCTTAATTTCTTTCAAGTTGTTATGTTAGGGGAAAAAAACTACTCGAACTGGAGACCTTCAGAGTGTCAGACTGATCACTGACCTTAAGAGTCCATATCATATTCATATAACTATATTATTGTTATACTAGATATTTTCCTAAAAGAAATTTTCAGTGGCAGAAAAATATTTCCTAAAAGAAATATCATCATATTCATATAACTATTGTACCTCAAAAGTTATGGCTTGTAACAATTACATGACCTAATTCACATCCTAAAAAAGCAGAGAATATTTATGTGCTTATGTTCTGGCATTACTACATCAGTAGCAAAGAGTAGCAAAGATTAACCTGTAAAATCGACATTTAGAGAAAGTTTACAATCTTCACAATAGAAGCTACAATGCTAGTATACCAGAATCTTGTTTGATCTTCATGAAGGCTCTACATGTTAGCCAGTGTTTGGATTCTTAAGGGATGACAGATATCACCCAATGGCTGACCATATAGGTAGCGGACAACTATTAAATTAATGCATATACTCTGTTGCCCTTTTGAAGTGATGACACAATTGTATCTGATTTATACTTTGATTTATATTTCACTTGGTACTGCTGGCCATATTTACTGCATGCCTAGATAAAACAGTCTGAAGTTAGAGACAACAATCTGAAGTTGGGCTGCTTTATGTTAAATAAATCAGAAATAAAATTATTAATGTATAATATGCTATTGAGTTAAAATAATTTACTTTACATGTTAATTATGTGCAGCGTACATATACTTGGAGACCTGAGTTCGATGCTAAGGCTAGGAGAGAATTCGACAAAATAGCTGGGGACCGACTTAGGGTACATTGAACCAAGTTTTCAAAATGGCTCTCCAAAAGCAATTTAGTTTCATGACAGACACTGTTCGAGCTGAATTCATAAATAAGCGTAAGCATCCTGATTTTCTGAAACGTTCTAACCAAGCAAGAGATAATCGGTTATCTGGCCAAACATTAGAGAAGTTTGACCCTGGCCATCGCCAAGGTAGCGTATCTACTCCTCAAGTGGTTAAAAAAAATGGTAAGTGTATGATTTTAGCAGCAAACTTATGATTTTTAATATAAGATTGAAGCAAGTAGAAACTTTTTAGCCACTAATATAGATGACTATAACTGGTCTTTATTAAAATTGCTCTGTAGTCTATGTCCCACTATATTTTGTTGTTTTATTTAAGTGCTAACAACTTCTTCTAATACAAGGCAAAGAAAAAGGATGGAATTTTACCAACTGCTACTGAAGTCTATGAGAGCACTCATTCTGTTTGTGTGGGCAATGATGAAGTTGAATTGATGGGTGACAAGTCTCAAAAAGTCATGGTATGAGTATAATTCTATATTTTTCTAAGATTACAAAAAGATATATGGTAGTTAATGTTTGGAGATATAATGGATTGTTTATTTGTTTGTGTGATTGAGTTGGAGGATAAGAATGATTTGCCAGCATTAATCATATGATTAATGTGTTATGGCATAATGTGAATTGAAACAGGTTTTTTTTGAAGCCATACCCTATAGGAGGGAATTCTTCAATTTACAAAGGAGACTCTATCAAAATTTTTACTAATAACTGCTTACATAAATTATTTTACTAATAACTGCTTGGACCCTTACTGCCATCAATACCATTTGCTTAGACTATCACCTAACTTTTCACTTTGTAACTAAACTCAGATAGTATCTAAATAAATCAGATGGTATCTAAAGGCAAGTTTTTACTGCTATGTACTGATCTGATGTCCAAAATGAAAGACTATAAGATAACAATTAAATTAAATTGTGTTTTAGAAGTCCAAACAAGTTTTTATCCCGGACGATGTCCCGAGTCATTGCTTGTATTTTTATTATAGTTGTTTTTTTTAAATGTATTTAGTTTATTTAAGTTTTAACATTTGAGATCATAGTTACTAATACATATCTTAATGCAGGGAGAATATATGGAAAAACTTGAGGAATATAAGAACAAAGGAATTGAGATAAACCCCGACAAAGTCTACTTGGAGGTTGTAGGTGGGCAAAAGAAAGGAAAAGTCTATGGTTTAGGGAGTGCTTCACATATGTATAACAAGAGTGATCCTACTTCTCAATCTACTGCGTCATCTTCCACTCCTTCCATGATTTCTCAATTAAGTTCTCAAGTTGAAGAACTAAAGAAGATGGCGGAAGAAAACCATAACAAGGTAGAAGAAAGCAAAAAAATAGCGGCAGAGAGCTTAAAATGTGCTAAGGAATTCGTCAAAAATCATGAGATCGAAAAAGCTACATGGAAGAAGGAAAAATTAGCTATGCAAAAAACATTGCAGGAAATGGCATCACTTGTAAAACAAGTTTACCGTCCTTATAAGCCTCCTACGCTTGCAGTCACCCGCTCTCGTGATACAACTAAGTGATTTTTACTTTCTTGGTGGTAATTTTATGAACAACTGGTCTTTTACATTGTCATTAATTCTTGTTTGAAGTAGCTTTTTTTTATATGGGAGGTGACTTTTGGAACAATTAGTTATATGAGTTAAATATTGTTTTTTAATACATTCATACAAAATTGATTGATATTTTGGATATTTGAATAAAATTAACATTTTGGTTATTTGAATTTATGAGTGGCTACCTTTTTTGTTTTGTGATTAATATTGGTCGTCGCTTAATTATGATCTCAAATATTGATAGTTAGTCGCAAATATTTAGCAACTGCAAATTTGGTTTAGGGACTAATTGGTTAGTTGCAAAATCATTAGTCTTAGTAGTCGCTAATCTGTCATGAATAATTAGTTTTGTAGTCGCAAAAATTTGGTCTCGTATGTAGTTGCTAATCCGTCGCAAAAAACATTAGTCTCAATAGTCGCAAATCTGTCACAATAAAACTAGTCTCCGTAGTCGCAAAAGTTTAGTCTCGTAGTCGCAAAAATTTGGTCTTGCAGTCGCTAATTCGTCGCAAAAGTAGTCTTAAAACATGGATCTCTGTAGTTGCTAATCCGTCGCAAATATATTATGACGGACAATAATTTAGTTGCTAAAATTTAAAAGTTAGTCGCTAAATGGTAGTTGCAAAGGCGTTGCAAATCTGTCGCTAAATTTGCGACTGTTCAAAAATTAGTCGCAAAAATGGATTTGCGATGAGGTCTTTGGCAACGAACCAAAGTAGTTGCAAATCCGTCGCAAATCCATTTTTGCAACGGATTTGCGACTACTTTGGCTGTCTCTAATTACCATTTTTCTTATAGTGTAAGCATAAGAACGAAGAGGAATGGACGGCGTTTTACTGTCGTGGAGTTCCTAACATACGGTTTGTGATTTCTTGGTGGAACATAAATAGTATGATTCGGAATAGTCTCAATTGCCCTTACATTAGGCTTTTAGGCCTATCTAATATTACTTATATTTTTCCTTGTAGGGTGATGAGACAATACGGGATGAGGCAATTTATTCCTCCGCAAGATTGTGATGCCTCTAAAGATGTGACCTTTAAACCCAAAAGGATTGCTCGTTGGATGGAATATTGGTCAACTCTTCCTAAGGGGGTAATACAAAATCCTCCTACAAGTATCACATTATCTTCCTTTTACAAGCCTTGGATGAATACGGCGGATAAAGGTGAATTAAACAGGGCTCGATCTCAACTTCAAGCCGCCACCGCTCGCAATCCACCTAAGCCTTTGATGCATTAGACCACTAGTACTCCTCCTAGTGGCCAATACAAAGGAGTGAGAAGAAAATTAGACTTCTCATCCCCCAAGGCTCGTTCGAAGGAAACAAAAAGGAAAGCTCCCTCCAAACCCATGCAGCAAGGTGTGAAAATCAAAGAACCTTCACCAAATACTCGCAAGAAAGCTCTAACAGTCAAAGGGAAAGGAAAACAGGTTGCAAAGGCCCCAATCCCTAAATTGAAAAAAAATGTTTGGGTGAAGAAGAAGAGTGTAGGGGAAAGCTCCAAGGTTTCTGAAAATGCTGCGATGGAAACTACTCCTCCATCATCTGTGACAATCGAGGACATAGTAAAACCTTAGAGTGTTCCACAATTTTAACATTTTGAGTAATGTCTCTCTTTTGAATAATGTCTACTATATTTTTTGTTTACTATCTAGTTCAATAATGTCTCTCTTTTGAATTTCGAATGAAATAAAATGATATTTATATTTTTCTATTTTGATATGACCGAATCATAGAGATTGCCTACGTATTCGCATAACGAAATTAGGTCTTTGCGTAGTTCTAATGTTTTTTTTTACTATTATGTATTTTTCTTTATTTTTTCTTTAATCTCTTAGATAGAAATTAAATGAAAAACTTAATCAAACATTGTATAAAAGAATTAAATCAAAGTTTAATTTTATTTTCCGAGTATATGTTATATTTAAGAAACACCCCTTTCTTTTACCGTAATTAGAAATCGCAACTTCATTTGAACGCAAAAATTCGGGTTCGCAGTTCGTCATTGGGTGGCGCGCGCAAAATTTGGAGTTGCGCGAGCCTGTCACGCGCAACAAAATAAGTTGCGCGTGACCTCCACGCGCAACTATTTCAGTTACGCGAGACACCTATGCTACGAATGTCTCGAAATTTTTTTTTTTAAAAAATTTGTATTATTACCCCCCAAGTGTTATGTATTTTACCGTGTTATTCGATAAGATGCATAACACTTAGAATCTTTCAATTGAATGCTAATTAAAAATGGTTGTATGCGTGAACGAGTTTTGTTCGGATTTCATGTGTAATATTTCTTAAGGCGATCAATGTTTATTAATTGGCGAATTTCCTCTTCTCCAATATCCATTAATCTAACGGCTCCTCCTGATAGGATTTAAATTATGCGGTAGGGACCTATCCAATTGGGTTTGAATTTCCCTATTTGATCGGTTGGTGTACCCCTAACCTCTTTTAGTACAAAGTAACCTTCTTTTATATTTCTAGGTTTTACTCTTTTTATTGAAATGACGCGCAATGCACCTTTGGTAGACTTGTACATGATGCAAAGCTCTTAATCATCATTCATCGGGGAATAAATGTTCTTCATACCTTTCTCTTACCCATTCAGCTTCCGGTATCTTTCTTTCAAGTACGATGCGTTGGGATGGTATTTCCAGTTCGACTGGTTGAACTGCGTCCATTCCAAAAACTATGGAGTATGGAGTTACTCCTATTGATGTCCGTATAGACGTTCTATAACCCCATAATGCGAAGTGTAGTTTATTCGTACAGACTGTTATATTTTCATTTGCCGACTCTACAACTCCATTCATTTAAGGTCTGTATGGGGACGTGTGATGATGTTTTACTTTATAACGAGTTAAGAGGGTCTCGACTTCAGCTTTGAATTCAGATCCCTGATCACTAATTAGTTCATGTTGAACTCCATATCTACAAAATATGTTTCGTTCGAGAAACTTTGCGACATGTTTAGAAGTGATATTCACGTAAGAAGCAGCCTCAATCCACTTAGTAAAGTAATCAATGGAAACTAATACGTACTCGTGCCCTCTTGATCCTGTTTGAAAGACTTTACCAATTATGTCAATTCCCTAAGTTGAAAAAGGCCAAGGGGAAGTGAGATTGCATAGTTCGGATGGTGGAAGGTGTTGTAAATTGGCGAACATTTGGCACTGTGAACATTTTTTAACATATTGTATGCAATCATGTTCCATAGTGGACCAATAATACCCTTGTCGTGAAATTATTTTTGAAAGCATTTTACCATTCATGTGAGGTCCAGAAACACCTTTGTAAGTATTTACCATAAGGCGTGTGGCTTCCGGTTGGCCTATACATAATAAACTTTGACCGTTAGGTCCTTTTTTGCATAATTGACCATTTATTATACCATATTGGGCCACAAGTCTTCGTAAGGCTCGTTGGACTTTTGATGAAGTATTTTCGGGATATGTGCCATGCGTAATATATTCGAGGATATAATCATACCAAGGATTGTCTCCTTCAATGTCATTTATTTCCTCTATTACGTTGCAATACGTTGGTTCTTCTCTTCTATCAATGCATAATGGCATCATATTTAAGTGTTCTGGAATGTTGATCATTGAGGGTAATTTTGCTAGCGCATCGGCAAATTGATTGTCATCGCTTTGGAGATATTTAAAATCAATATGTTTAAAATACTCAATGAGTTGCTTTAGGTGTGTTTGGTATAATATCTGTGGAGTTCTTTATTTTCCATTTTTTTAGTATATGATTTATAATTAAACTGGAGTCTCCATATACCTCTAATTTTTGCACACCTATGCTAGTCGCTGCTTCTAATCCAATAATGCACTCTTCACATTCTGCGGCATTATTAGTAACCTCAAAGTCTAATTTAACTGAGATTGGAGTATGCGCTCCCTCTGGACTTATGAGTAACACTCCTACGGCACATCTTTTTTGATTGGATGCATCGTCGAAGTACATTACCCATTTGTCATCTTGTGTCATGAGAATCTCTTCATCCGGAAGATGAGTAGTTTCTGCATGACTTGTTTGAATTGGATGTTGCGCCAGAAAGTCGGAAATTCTTTTCCTTTCATTGATTTTTCAGGAATATATTTTAGCTTAAATTCGGCCAACATCACCAACCAATTAGATATCCTTCCTTTTATAGGTGGTTGTTCAAACAAATACTTTATTGGATTTTGTTGAGAAATCACATGAGTAGTGTGTGGTAACATATAATGTCGTAACTTTTTTGTTTCCCAGACTAATCCTAGGCTTGTCTTTTCCAGGGTGCCATATTTTGTTTTGTATTGGATGAATTTTTTACTTATGTAATATATTACACGTTAGACTTTTTCTACCTCTTGTGCTAACATAGCGCCTGTGGTTGTGTCTGTAACTGTAACGTATAGCCTAAGAGGTAGTTTGGGTACTGGTGGTGCTAAAATTGGTGGACTTTTGAGATAATCTTTGATTTTCTCAAAGGCCTTTTGGCATTGATCGTCCCATTCATGTTTTTCCAAGGAATCCATAGTCAACTTGTTGATAAATCAACTAATGTATTGTAATTTGCCAAAGGAATCCCCTAATTTCTTTTTCTATTTGAGGGGGAGGCATTTCAACAATTTCCTTTATTTTAGAGGGATCGATCTCGATGCCTCGTGTGCTTACTACGTATCCGAGTAACTTACTAGAAGTGACTTCGAAGGCGCATTTTTGTGGATTCAATCGCATTTTATATTCTTTTATGCGAGGGAAAAATTTACGTAAGGCTTTTATACGTCCCATTCTATCTTTTGACTTTACGATCATATCATCCACATACACTACTATTTATTTATGCATCATATCATGCAACAGAATCGTAGCCATTCTTTGGTACGTAGCTCCTGCATTTTTTAAACCAAATGGCATGATTGTGTAGCAATACGTACCCCAAGGGGTACTAAAGCATGTCTTTACTTTATCTTCTTTTGCCATTAAAATTTGGTTGTAACTTGCGTATCCATCTGTAGGGGTTTGGTGAGTCTGACTCACCGCGGAAACAAACCCAAAAACAAGACCGCACTCGCAATAAATAAAACCATAAACATAATTAAATTAATCACAACATTAAGATAAGCTAATTACCTTTGACGCGTACTTCGCTCCAAAATGAGCTCTTACTTGAAAGCTTCAA